CCACCATAGAAGATCTGGAAATACTAGAAGGCCGTTCCGTTCTAGTGCGAGACTCCTCAGAAATGAGCACTCACGGTCCCGCCCCGCGGAGCTGGAACCCAGGGTCTTCAGTCTCGTACGTAAACACCAAGCTTCTAGATCACTGAGCCGACATCCAACAGTGCTAATGTCTAACTTCAACCGATCCGCGAAGTTGTGTCATTGTCCACTATTGTATTCAATGAGTTACTTTCTCACAACAGACCCGGCTGAACTCTACTGATCATGGCTTCTCATTAGAACTCCAGAAAATAGCTCTTGAATACCGTCACTAGTGACGGTGTAGTACATAACATGACACTAACCAACGCTGTTGGTAGGTAATTCCCTTATTCTCAATATAGTCGAATTTCATTAAATAATAAATTTTCACTATAGCACAAGGAATCCATTATCCATGTAGCAGTTAGTCAGCACATGATTAATGTTTACATGAAATGTTTGCAAAGATTCGTTTAGACTGAAGTTATGAAAACCAATTTCCATAAACTTCTCAATCACATACAGAAAACGTAATCTTGTCTCAGATCTAATCCTTTTTTTAAAAACACTTGACCTTTATCAACATCCAACAATTCTGATATTCTTTGAATTAAGATGTAGATATCACTCAATTGATTATCAGTGAAATAAGTGTTTATATCACTAAATATCCTTCAACTTTTCATGTAATTGTGTTCGTCCACAAGTTCTTTAGAAACCATGAAAAGTGTTGAGGGCATTTAGTCTAATCCCTACATGACATAAAAACTCCTGGAAACGTAATGGATTTTATGTCATACTTTGAGTGGATAACTGTTTGCTCTGTAACTGAATTTAGTATTGTCTCAGAGATAACCAGAATTCATATAACCTTGTAAATACTCTTATTTCCTGTGGATTAAGAAACTTTGAAATAAAGCTTCTTCTTCTACTTTGTGCCATTGTTGGCCTTTTAATCTGATTCTAATTAGATTGTTTGATAATGTTATCGAAATATACATCCCAGCTATCCTCGTATATCATTATTGACTTAAGTCATGTTATGAATAATGGGATAACATAAGTCAAATACGAAGATGAATTTTGAATACGTATATATTCTACACTCGTTGATCTGAAAGAACATTCACAATGAAAAGCTGGAAAGCAAAACGAAGCGGAGAATGTCGTTGAAAGAACGAAAAACGAAGCGAGGCGAGTGAGCCAACTCGATTTGAGCAAGTATGACTGAATATTTATAGTCAGACAAAAATAAGCTATAGACATGTTATGAGTAGAATAAGCAATGTACACACATACGCCCTTATAAAAGCAGTCAAAGTTAATAAACGAATAATTAACAAATTCAAAATGTGACACAACACGAATGAATAGACTAATATGGGACTGACATGATACTAGACGCTACTCCTTTCCTCGATTGTTCAGATCTCAAGTGTGGAAGAGTTCTGGTGATTCAGGAATCAGCTACAAAGTCAATATCAAGCGTTTTAGTTGTGGATTTATCAATTTTACGCATACATAAATGACATACACAACATATTAGTCTCATATATCGACATTCATTGAATTAATATCGAATTATTGGATAATCTAAAGTAACAAACATAAACATTAATTTGAATGGCAAGATTATTTTAACTGATATTAGATGCTTGTTAGGGACTGTTTTCAACTAGTGTACATCACAAAGTATAAAACAACCTAGAACGATCTAGTTTAAGACTCTTCAGCAGTGAATAATCAAAATGATGTTTTTCTTTCATCACTATAGAAATGTTACTTTTCTTTATTCCTCAAATTAGTTACGTAAAACAAATCAAATCCCTGTTATTCGTGAACCATGGACAATGAATAATTTAAGTGGAGAATTGACAACAATTTCAAAAATAACAAACAATCATGATAATAATAATAATGGTAATAATAGTGAACAAACGAAAGATGGAAATCCTCAAAATTTAATGACAACGCCAATCAACATACGTACAATACGTGGTAATCGAGATTTACATGCTTCAGGATTTTCATTAAGTGGTTAGTTGTTAAACTTTTTTTTTCATTATTTTGATACAGTTTAATGTTTAATTGTATTTGAAGTTAAGATTATTGATGGTAAGGCTTGTAAAACTATGCAAGTTATCATATTTAGCTCATAAATGTGTCATGAACTTATACTGCCGAGTAAGTAACTCAGTTGTTAAGAAACGGGAACTAGGTAAAGATGACGAATCAATTGATAAAGTAGTGAAACTTCATCAGTTCAGATGGCTGAGACACGTGTTACGTATGCCCAACCACTGACCGGAGTAGGTTGGAAATACGCTAGGGGTGGCCAGACCGAAATATGGCACAAATCCATGAAGTCACTGACAAGTAGACTGAGCCATGTTGGTAGGTGTAGACTACCTGGTTGGGGACCGCGAGATGATATCAACCGATGGTTAGAGACCTTGAATGACATGACTCAAAATCGTTTGCAATGACACAGGTGCATCCACTCTTTGTATTCTCTCAAATTCTAATCTTCTGTATTCTTTATGTCCCTTTTCTTTTCCTCTTTCCAAATTTTTTTTCACTGTATTATACTCCTTGAATAACATCTTCAAACCCTAGTGTTTCCGATTAGTGCTGATACTTTTACTACCTCTACCACTACGGGATTTGAATCGAAAATTGTATCTGTTGGCTAATGTGGTATGGCAACTTGAACTGATGTACGTACGAAGTTTTACATTGTTGCTGACTGACTGACTATTATCTATCTTTAGAGTCGTTCTCAAGAAATGAATGGCCTTTTTTTACAATTTCATAACAGCAAGAAGCCGTCATTTATTGGTTAGGGATACGTTTTTCGGATAATTTAAGCATTGTTCTAATGTACTTTTCTACCTAACAGGGTTTGGTAGTTCTCAAAGTACTTGTTAAGGGGCTGGAACCCCTGAGTTAATGATTGAAAGAATAATACCAATCTTCCCTACCACCACTACTGATACTGTTATACTACTTCTACTAATCTGATATTTGCATTTCATTTCACTGTACTAGTGATGTGGCAACATGAACCGCCCCACACGTGTGCCAGGTTCTACATTGTAGGTTCATTGTCATTTCAGAGGACTGCACACTAAGCATTGTTGCTCCTCATATATGGTAATACATATGTAAACTTGGTATTTTACCAATCTCCTGATATTCTAGCTACAAACTGATTGAAAGTAAGCTAAGCCCTTCATATTAAACTAGGTTTTTAGTAGGTATTCAGATATTTCCAATAATCTCACACAAATGAGAGAATTTTCTGGTGATAACGATAGAAACATAGGATGAATCATAATGTAATGTTTCGATAATCATAGTGGGACAATAGGACTACTCACTTTTATCAGATCAGGAATATGCAGTAAGCTTGTTTTGGTATTTACAACGTCCCTATAAATGTGATGGAGCTCCACCGTGTGTAGGTGAACATACAATTTGACTTCAAATTTTGCCGCTGTTTTCAGAATGCACTGAAACTTGTGACTCATTTTCTTAGGGTCAAATGTTTATATCAATAATTTAATTTTCTACCAATTGTGTAAATCGTTGCATTCGAAGATCTTTTAAATAAACATCCTTACAAAATCTACTCATTTTAAATGGTTGGATATGGAGTAGCAACCAGTGTGATGTATGCCTAATTCTTACAGATGATAGAATCCTATCGACTCAGCATGCAATGTAAGAAATAGTCTAAACAACTTGAAATCACTATGGATTATGTTCTGATTTTAGATAATGGTTAGAGCTAATTCTAGTTTTAGGAATATAAGTTGTTTGTCGAATTCAAACCAGTATTGAAGTTAAAGATCAATCGTGACCCGGGTCCGAATCCTCCAAGCGATCTCAGTTCAGTCGAGACTGCTGACGAGCGCCAACTGCCAAGAAACCTAGGTCAGACAGGAGTTCCTGTTGACCACTTTCAACTAAATAAAAACCAAAGAGTTTTCTATCAATCGCTACTTATTTATCATTTTATTTACACATATTCTGTTTTTATTTGGATTTTTTATTTTTAAAAAAACAACAAAGGAGCTCAAGTTGACGATGACCGACCAATAAGATCAACTATTCGTACACAACAACAAAGTGAAACAAGAAATCCGTTGTGGTAAACAGACCACAAACACACACACACATACACATAAGTATAACATTTATTCACCTTTTTTTCTCACAATTGGTCACTACTCATCATTCATCCATTCGAATTACACACCACCATCATCATTATCGTCATTATAAACACATTCTAATTAAATATTAACTTTTTTCATTATATACACATATAAATATAATATGCAGTTTTGATAAAGTACATTAAATACATACAAAAAAAAATACTACAGTACTAATAGTAATGTTAAATTTGAGTATTCTCACATAATGGATAAATGGGATATTTCTTAAAATTCAATTTCTTTTCTGTTATTGTTTTCACCGAGAAAAATTGAGGGGAAACGACATAACAATGAATGTATATTTATATACAATAATAGTAAGACAAAATAGCAGTTCTAATAATAAAATAATAATGATAATAGTGTAGTCATTCTAGTTGATTTAAAAGAAAGATCAAAGAAGACTTCAAAACTTCGACTTGGATCACTAAGTGACACTGAGAATAATAAACGTTGAATAGATCCATGGAAAAAGAAGAAAAAAACATCTTTGTAATATATTTTTTGTAAAAAATGCTGCTGACATTTACAACTAATAATAATAATAATAATAATAATAATAATAATAATAATAATAATAATAATAATAATAATAATAATAAGGCACAATAAATGAATGAACATATCGTATCAAAATACATGGAATCATATGAGTGAAGGCACAGAGTTAGCGAATAACTGAAGAAAAATAATAATAATCGTACAAAATAAAATACTGTATATAAAAACGAATATAATGAATACTACTAAGAATAGGTAGTAGTAGTAGTAGTAGTAGTGGTAGTGTTTATAGGGACAAATAAATGCACTAGAAAAATATCCCAGAAGATTTGACACTATTGAATTCAAATAGTGAAATTACAAAAAAAACAAAACAAAACAAGAACTCAGTAGTATGAAATGCAATGCATCATCCTCTCTCTTACGCTTGTTACTCCCAATGGAGTATAGGCCACCGATAAGCATTCTCCAACCCTATCCCTCTCTCTACCGATGGTTTTATGAAAGGTAGAAAGTAAAACAAAAATGCAAACTATCAATAATTGTAGGAAAAAAAAACAGAAAAAAAAAATAAATAAAGTATTTGATAGTCTCTACTTATTTAAATAAAAACTTATCTAATGAGCAAGCGGTCAATTGAACTGTAACATTATTTGATAATGAGACAGGAATGGTCTTGTTATTTGACTCAACATTATTACTAATAGCCATTGTTGAAGATGTTAAAATTGAATGATTATTGTCATTTTCTTTTTTATTTGTACTATTATTACAACTATTAGCGGTACTATTACTATTACTATTATTGTTACTAGTAGTATTAGTAGTAGCAGCAGCAGTAGTATTTTTATATTGACTAGAATTGCTATTGCTATTACTATGACTATTGACTAGAGCTAAACCGGTCATTGCTGTATTAATGCCAAGACTTGTATTAGCTGGTTGATTTTCATCAATATCATCTGAATCGATTTCATCATCAGTTGTATCGTCTTCATCGATGTTAATATTTCCTTGTTTAGTAAAATGATGTGTTTTTACACAATTTGAATTATTTGTTGATTGTAATAGTGAAGTGTTAACAAGAGTACTTGAAGAAAACTGATCAATAACACGAGGTAATTTTGATGGAGAACACAATGTCATCGTTGTTTTTGTTTCTGTCTCTGATGCCATTGTTGTCGTTGATGTGTTTTTAGTCGAATTACTACTCCCTAATAAACAATAGTTCTCATTATTATCATTTAATTCAGTAGTTAACGGTGGACGACTAGTTGATTTAATTAACATTTGTTGATGATTGCCTACTAATTTTGCTTCTTTCATCTTTTTCTTATGATTATTATTATTAGAAGAGTTTTCATGCTCATGAATTGAATGCAAAGTAGAATTGGAAGATAATGATGATGTAGGCCCAAGTGAAAATCGTGAACTTGGTCGAACTTGATGAGAATAATGTTGATAACGATGATCAGTAGTATGTTGTGATAAAAATTTTTGACAACTTTCTGAAATTCGACCAACATCACTATTATGTTGAAGAATTTTTACATCAATATCTTTTCTTTTCGCTTCATTTGATTCAGTAGCAACATCAATACCAGAAGTAGTGGCAACGGTGAACATTGGTTTATTGCAAATCTCTTCTCGATTAAGTGAGACATAAGGTAAAGAAGCATCGATATAATTAATAGAGTTCTCCGCTTTACTTGGCATCAATGTCCTTGTAAGAGGTGTGGCTTCTTTAGATTTTCTAGTATTTCTGTTATTTGTCTCTATTTTCTTCGTTTGTTTAGTTGAAGAATTCGCTGTCTGTAGAAATAAACGAATAAAATATTATTATTATTACCATTACAAAGTTGTCAATCAAATTACGTTGATCAATAATCAAATATTTACAAACCTATGCCATAACTGATCGACTTGAAGCAGTGTCACTCAGATTCTTCAGCCACTGTTTACGATAGTCGCGCGGACCCGAACCAAGTAGTCTGCATCCACTAACATGGCTCACACTAGAAGTTAATGACTTCAAGCACTGATGCCACGTTTTGGTTTGGCCGCCCCTAACTTTCTTCCAATCATCCTCAACACTAGTCAGCATTGCACGTCGTGGTAATCGGTGTTCAGGCATACGTAACACGTGGCCCAACCATCTCAGTCGATGAAGATTCACAACCTCATCATATGTTTTACCATCATTCCTTAATACCCTGTGTCGAACCTCACTATTACTTACCCGGTGATCCCAGCAGACGCCAGCAATATTTCTTAGGCATCTGTGGTCAAATACCAGTAACTTACAAGTGTCTTCTACTCTTAATGGCCATGTTTTGCTGCCGTAAATTAAAATAGAACGGACTGCCGAGCAGTATACTCGTCCTTTTATTGATGGACAGATATCTTGCCTTTGCCATAGGTGACGTAAGTCGGCAAAAGCCAAGCGAGCTTTTCGAATCCGTGCTGAGATTTCGTCAGACACCAACCCATTAGGGCTGATCAGACTTCCAAGATAAGTGGAGTTGTCAACGCGTCCGACTACTTCACTCCCTATCCTTAGTTCAGGTGTTGATGCAGACCAGTCCTGAAGCAACAACTTGCATTTAGTGGGGGAGAAACGCATCCTCAAAATCCTGACATTGTTGCTCAGTGCTACCAAAAGATTGCATTTTATCAGCGTCTTCACCACAACAGGACTACATCATCTGCGTATTCTAAGTCGATAAGTGGACCTCCTGGTAGGAGATCAATACCCGAGAATTCAGTAGACGAGAATGTTATTTCCACCAATAGGTCTATGATGAAGTTTGAAAAAAATGGAGAAAGTGGACAGTCTTGACGGACACCACCACTTGAGGTTGCAAAAGCAGATGACAGTTCGCCATAAGCTCTGACTCGACTGGTAGTGTTCGAGTAAAGAGCCTTCACAAGGTTTATGTACTTCTGAGGTACGCCTTTCAATGACAGACACTGCCAGAAAATCTCGCGGTCTATGGAGTCAAATGCTGCTTTTAAGTCAAGAAAGACCACCATTGTTGAACACCGATAAGTATGCCCACGTTCTAGAACCTGACGAATGGTGAATATATGGTCGATGCAGCCACGACCAAGTCTGAAGCCAGCTTGATTCTCTCGTGTTTGCAGTTCACGAGTCTTAGTTAGGCGTCTGATAATTATCGAGGCTAATATTTTAGATGCTATATTAGTTAAACTAATCCCTCTATGGTTGTCACAGGATGATTTTAACCCTCTCTTATATATTGGGACGATAAGTGATTGTGACCAGTCAGATGGAATAACGTCTAAGGGATAAGGCGAGGTGTGCATTTTTAGGGTCAACCTTTTCTAACCCCACCCCTCCTTGTGGGAAGGCAGCATCGCTGTCATGCTGGTTGTCTGAAGGAAACACCTTACTGCCCTCACACCTCTGTACAGCCAGCAGTACGACTTCGCCTTCGGACCTCGGGTTTGTTGCTTTTAGTCTTACCGCTCTTCAACCGAGCTGTCTGACATGGTAGGACTTTGAGGAACGGTTGTTCCAGCCAGTATAGTTCGGTTGCTTCATCACGATAGGCAAGCCCGACCACCACGTCAAGGTAGCAACAACGGTCGGGTTTTTTAGGTAGCAACAAACGGACCATTTAAAGTCTCTAACCATCCACGTAGTCTACACCTGTTAACATGGTTCAGTCCAACTGTCAATGACTTTTGAGTAAAGTCAGAAAACTGGTTGGTGAGACTGTGAATTTCTATTTGCTGAGGGAACTATAAAATGTGTTACGTAAGTCCAACCATTAACTATCTCCATATGTGGTATTGGTTGATACAGAAAGAGACTGGGAGAAAAGTAAGGAAGGCCAAACTAAAACATAGCATCATCTCATGATAACGTTATTGGTTAAATTAAGGTGTGTAGGTAGGACATCGACTACTTGGTTGGGATCAGCACAATTTTTATAACCAAAAGTTAGAGACTTCAGGTGACATGGTTGAAGAATGGAGTTGGAACGATACGAATGTATTCATTTCTTGTTTACGCCTAGATCCTGTTTTTTTTACTTTATAAATTCACTCTTTTCTCTCCAAGCACATTGATTATGCCTAATCTTTCGTACGATCACTGGTACTAGTATTATTTCTTTGTTATTCGTCTTTATAATCTTATCTCAATGTGTCGACGTGATGTGGCAACTTAGGGTGATGCATATTTTTCCCAGGTTCTATGTTGCTTATGAGTAACTGAATGCTTTTTCCAGTGTACCCCATCAAATAAACAATACAGAATAATACAAATCGATTGATTGTCTTGGCATCCGAAGATTGGTCTTCTGAGAATCAAACTTTGTCTGGAAGTGTATTACAAAAAGGTATGGAAATTATTAGTGAACAATATTACCTCTACAACACCCATGACTGTTCGACGGCGAGCTGTTTTTTTCTGTCTAACTATGTGACTTGTTACATTTAAAGCGTCTGCATTATTCGGTTTTTGCACAGATGTATTATCTGATAAGATTTCAATGGAGCTTTTGCATGTCTTCTGGGTTCCAATTTTCTGTGAATTATTCACTTCGTAATTGGTTTCCACAAGACAGGTTCTAGTGGGTTGTGTATGCCTTCGGATAGATTTAGCTTGTTGTCTAGTTAGCGGTCTCCTAGGTGGTGTGGCAGAATTATGGTCAATGTTATTTAAGGGTGCAGATGATGAATTATCATTAATGGCATTATTTACAACTGATATGATCAAATTACGCTGATGCTGATCAATATCAGAACTACACGAAGTGGGAACCATTTGGTCAATTGTAAGTGCAGAATTAACTAAATGATCAAGTGTTGAGTGAAGTGTGTGAGGTACAAGTTGAGCATTTGTTACTGGAACACAACCATCAACTTCATCAATACCACCACCAACAGGGCATGGTCGAAAATTAACTGCAGAAGGCAAATTATTCTGGAAATAAGACGACAATGCAGCTGCACATGACTGTGTAGGATAAATGGCATTCACAGAGTAGCGGGATTGCCGTCCATTTGATCGAGAAGAGTTTACATTTCTTAATAATGGCTTATGCAGAGCAGTTTCAATGTGTTGAATATTGTTTTGAACGGATCCACCTGTATTAGTACTACTAGTGACAGTAGGATGAAAATACGGTAGTGAAAGTGCATCGAAGGCAGTGATTCGCTTTTTTGGATTGAACTGGATCATTAGCTGTAAATGTATGGAAAGTAGGATACCAGTTACGATCCATTATGTATACAAAAAATAAAATGGTTCGCCAGATCTCTTATATGATAAAAGTACTTTGTGTTTATTTAATCCTTGCTGTGAAAAGTCTGAACTTTGTTATTTGAATTTCTGGTACATACAGGTCCTAACGTTGTGGCAAATAAAATTAAGATGAAGCAATGACAAACTGTTTGGTGGACCAATGGTAGTGACTGAATGGAAGATTATACACTTGGTCGTCATCCACATTGGTGATACAATGAATAGTGAAACTGAAGCTTAATGGTTTAAAAGTGAATGCGTTAAACAACAAACTACAGCTCATTATATCTCAGTTTTGTCTAACACAAACAGTTGGTTTAAGGCATGCTTACTGAAGCAGTGAAACAGAAGTAATAATAATGATAATTGGTCCGATATAATTATTAGCATAATTATGTACGTAAGCAATAATCGTTGAGATTTCATTGTTTTTCCGAACAAAATCACCAGCACAAACTCCAGGTAAAAGTGAGGTGTTCGAACTTTTCCATGCATGACTAACCATTCACCATCACTACATTGATCTTGATTGGTCATCGCTGAACTTGAAACCTTTTTAGATCATAGAATGGAACTTACTAGTCATTCACTTGGGCTGTAGATCTTCACTATCTCATGGCCAACCACAACTTGATCTACTTAACTTTAAGCTGAACTTTGTGTGAACGCTAGTGATACTATTCAGCTCCCTAAAATAAAGTGGGGAACGAGCCTTCGAATTATTTTAGCGGCTGAAAGATAAACTCTTTAACAATTAGGCTACCACTCTAAGCAGAGAGTAATGATAATTATTTTTAAATGTTTTTGTATCCCCTTTAGATAAAATTAACATATATGAGAAGAGGTTTTCCAACTCATCACAAGTTAGTCTTTTTTTACTACTTACATAAATTCTCACTTTATCCCATGTTATTTTAATGCAGTGCGACTTTTAATACTAAACTTCCACTAACTTTAAGCTTTGAATAATAAGAAATAAACCTAGGAGCTATGTACTATCCATCTGACTTATTGTATGATTTTCTAAGTTGTTTAGATGTACATATTTAAATCAGCCAACTCGATTTTAGAGTGAGCATCAAAATACCCTATTAACGAGACTGATTACTTCATGTCATTTTACAATGATTTCATAAAAAGTAGATATTGTAATGCATCGTATCTAAATACTTATGTATTTCAGTAGTATAGTTGAAATTATGGAACCTTACTCAGCTAACCTGAAAAAACAAACCTATTTACTTTAAAGATAATTGTATACGATAGCAAGATAAAATTATGAATAAGAAATATATGCATGAAAATAACATATTTTTCACACACTTCAAGTAATTCGAGTGCAGATTTATCGTTAGTTTTGATACACGAACGTAATTTCGAACCAGAAGAGTTGAAATGAAAATTAGATCGTTTCAAGTAAGACAACGCAGGCCATTCATTTTGAGCAGGAAATCCAATAACTCTAAAAAATCACACATGATTATCGAATTTCAAACACCATAAAGCTTACTGAAATATAAGTTTTAACATCTCTAGTTCTGTATCTGCACGGAAAATTGCTTGTAAGTTGAATAATTCTGCTATGATACAACCAGCAGCCCATATATCACAAGGTGATAAGTATTCAGATTGAATTAAAATCTCTGGAGACCGATACCACAATGTTACAACAATCGGTGTGAGTGAAGACTCCCAGCCAAGTACACGAGATAAACCAAAGTCAGTTATCTTCAAGCGCAAGGTTTCCTTATTGATGAGAATATTAGCCGGTTTAAGATCACGATGAATTATTCTATGTGAATGGAGGAAATCTGTACCACGGAGCAACTGTTCAGATAAATTCTAAAATAGAGAGCAAAAAACACGCTTACAGTTGCACAAAGTGCCTAGTTTGTCTTAAGTACTGAAACCAAGTATCAAAGGACAGAAAAACCAAAAGGTTTAGACTTGAACAGCATCTAATGAGATTTTTAAAAATGACCAGGAAAGCTCTTACAATTGTTTTTAATGTAACCAACCAAAACTCAGACAACTATTCAAAGCAATATTGAAAGATTGTGGTTCAAAGCGGCATTTTATAGCTCCGTGACCCGAATAGTCATATTTGGGTTTTTTTATTTAATAATACCACCTATTCTTTATGAAACCTCATAGTTATATCACGGGTGATTTACTTTGAAAGTAAAATCGAAATTGGACCACTAGATCAACTATCTAGGAAACCCTAGGTTCCACCATTCTTATGATTTGAAGACTGACGATGAATGCAATATAAAAATGATAGGATTCTACACTCATAAACCTGGATGAATTTCAGAATACACTCTTAACATAAACATGTAATTGAGTAAACAATGCAAACGTCATATGTACCTTTCAAATAAATATACTGCAACCAAAAGTCATTGCTATTCGGCTGGCCAGACAAAAGCCATAACCTAGCCAATAGTTGTGAAGGGTTGCCATAATTATACATTCAAGTAATTATTTTCTTTCAGTTGACAACGAAGTTTTACCTCTTGTCGAGGCTGAGACTGTCGGTATGGGCCAGTAACTACAGTAATGAGATCAGTATATTGGCTACACATCTATTTAACCACAAAACTGTGTAACAACTCATGCGTATTTATGGAGTTTAAACTATCAAACATTGAACTTACCCTGATGGTCTCAGATGGAAGGCCAGTTGAAGGTACATGGTGAGAAAGAAAACGAGCTAAATCGCAATCAACAAACTCGAAAACAATATAAATCGATATCCCAGTCTCCTGCTTTTTTAATGAAATGTCAAGCATTCTAAAGAAAAAGTAATGTTGAGAATTGGAACCTACTGTACGAGGTAAGGGCAATTATAGGACTGCACCTTCTTCAGAACACTAAGTTCACGTAGAGTGCTGAGTGGAATGCCTTCATCATCAGTAGGTATCAGTATTTCTTTTAATGCAACCGTCGTTCCATTTAAAGATGTCCCTTTAAAAACGCGTCCATATGCTCCGGATCCAAGTAGATTTGATACTTGGTAATTGCTTTTAAATGGGAATGTATCATAGCTGCTCATCCGTTATGGATCAAGCAAACAAGTCAACGCGTATTACGAAAAACCGCTAAACCACTTCATTTATCAAGATATAAAATCAAGTAAACTACATAAATTTTGTAATTTTAGTTTATGAGAAAATATGGTATCACTTTGCACGTATCAACAAACGGTCATAATACTACGCGTTTCGTCAGATTACACAGTGCGCGATGTTTAAAAGATCAGCGGTATTCTTTTCCTCAGACATAATTCGATAGTTCCGACTACTTATCACTCCTTAAGACTACTATTTTCTTTCGGGTTGAATTATTTGCAGTAAAATTAACGCCAATCATATATATTTTCAAGGGTAACCTTGCACTTGCAATTTTATTGAGCACACCGTTTTTTAATATTTGTCGCACTTCCGAATGTAACAATTGAAAGTTTCATTTTGGAAAAGACAGGAGGCTGGGTGGCCCATTTGAGTTCGGACAGTGTTGATGTCATAATCGATACAATATCCTTTCGAATATGTCGGCAAATGAAGTGTCGCGGCAAATAAATCCTCAAAATAAATAGTTCTGCAGTTCTTTGACATTGATGCTGACCTTATCAGTTTTGCCAGACCCACCTTAGCTGAGAGCGCTCTGTCACTCATCTACACCAGACTACGAGTTCTCCAGAAGGACATGAATACTTCGTCCGCGATACCTAGAAAACCTAATCGTAATGTGATATCAGTTTCTGGCATTAAAATCAACAATCTGACCATATAAGTCATTGACAACTATACAGGATCCCATAATGTATATAACTAGACTGTGGCTATTAATATTGAGAAGATTATTGAATGGGTGCAAACCAAAAATAAGTAACGTTTGATGTTGTTAAAGGAAAGTCGATCCTCCGAACTGCGAGTGAGCAATCCTAGTCTGATCATCGTAACAGGACAGTCCTCTTCTATAGACTCAAGAAGAGTTAAAGCTCACAGCCCAGAAATCTCTATTAGCGTGACATTTAATTGACGGAGAATTTTCTTATCCAGCTAAGGGCTCAAGGTATCTCTGTGACCACATTCTTGAAAGCAAAATGATCCAGGCCTTTAAAAGACTTACAAAGCCAACTACTTGGTGCTGATTATATGAAATCTAAATATTGGGAAAACAGAAACATTTGTGGAACGTTTCTCCTCAAGTCTAGAAGATTGTATGAAGAAAAACCTGTCATAGTCTATATATTCGTGTAAGAATCAAATACCTAGGTGAAGAGGTGGCACTTCAGAATTATTGGGAGAAAGTAGTAATACATCGCGGTTGGGAAACGATCACGGTAAAGCAAAGGTATTCTCAAATTACTGTGGCGTTATACATGTTTTGCAGGCAACCTCCCTTTGGTTCACAAACACTTTGGATACCGTAACCATTAAAGAACTCGATGTGATTGGTTTGTTGAGTGAGTCTAATATAGGGAAACCTATGGGACCTGATGATATTCATCATAGCTTTGTGGCAAATCCCTCAAGTATGTGTTTTAATCGATCTGTAATCAAAGGTAGACTACTCAAAGATTGGAGGAAAGCCGTAGAGAGTCTTGTCTTCAAAACAGGTACGAGTGAATACGTCGTTCTTCACATTTCTTACAAGAGCTAGCCAACATAGATTGGTCACTTCTCGATGTATAGACATCCTATCAAATATATCTCCAAACTTCTTCATTTCTGACTTCTGATTCGACTGAGTTAGCGTACTTTGATTGTGAAGGTGTTACAGATAAAGAGTAATTAAACTCCGAATATTGTGGCATCTTTACCATCAAATCATCTTCAGCATACGGATGTGGGGATTGTCACAAGGGAAAAGAAAAGGCGCGCTGAGAAGAAACTACTTATAGACAGTACTAAGCTATGTGAATATACGTTTTCAGTTCCGGATTCACATATCAACGCAAAACAAACTATGGGGGAGCTAAGTCTGAGCGGTGTAGAGGATGTAATCAAGAGACAAAATAAGGTAAATGAGTGGCTCACAGTCACATCTAAGGACGCTAAATTGGAATCGGATTACAGGGAAGACTCGATTTCAGGAACTAAAATTTCACGTGTTAATTCGGACCTTGCTGAGGTGTCAGTCATTTTTCACAGGTAAAGAGAATCTTACGAAAAGAAACCAAAGGCTAGATTTGAGCACGACTTCAGTCACATCAAGTTCTTAATAACCAGGCATCTGCAAGCTTCTTACAATAGGACAAAATGTGGATTCTGAAAGTATTCAGAAAAGCCCTCTATTGAAGGTCACTTTCGTTACAGTTGAAGAAAGAAACCTGATAATGGGAAGCCCATGCAAACTAATTAGGTCCGTAATGTACGTCCGTGAGGATCACAGCCTAGTTGACCATATTAAGAAACGAGCTACAGAAGTAGAAATAAATGAGCATCGTCTAAATGGTGAAAGAAACCTCATACTTAAGGATTTTCAAATTGTAAAATATTGAATTAATTGTAGTATATCGCAGTCGAGAATGTGTAGTAGATAACTTCCTCCTAAGCAAACCTAAGTTGTGGTGTAATATGAGACTTTGATGCACCGTGTATAAACTGGGTTAACTTAGAAGTTTGATAATCGAAAACGTCATTTGACTGCGAACTGTAAGAAACCCCAACTGCACTAGCTTTATTACAGCACGTTGGAGGTCCCACCAGATATGAGTTAAGAAGTTCCTCGTCTCCCTTGGACTTAGGCTTCACAGACGGTGATGAAGATGGTCCAATCACTTTTCTTCCACCACTAGGTAAAAGAGATCATGCAGTCATTTTATTCAAATTCATGGCTGGGATTGCCTATCAAAAAGTTGCGCCGGACCGTCCAAATATATGGAGGGCAGACATGGAGGCAATCAACTCCGCAGCATCGGCTGAAAACTGGGAAACTGACTCAAGGGCATCAGTACGAGAGGCATGCACTCTTTTCAGGCAGTTATGCAATCAGGTAACTCAACCATATATACCCTGGACAGGTCCAAAGAAGAAGAGGCGCGGCCATTCCTGGATAGCCGGGATATTCGATGTTTACTAAGACAAAAGAAGAAATGTTGGGATGTTTCCATCAGCCTTTGTACAGCAACTACGATGGAACGCTACACATCTGTAAGAAACAAGTGCATAATTAAAATCCGGGAAGCTCAGAGAAAATATGAAATGCAGCTGGCACAATCTGCAATCAAGCAGCCTGAGAGAATATTGTCGTACATAAACTACGGAACAGGGATGTATCATTGGACTACCAACCCAATTAAAGAAGAGAGTGAATCTGAAATGTTAGAGGAAAATCAGGAAAAAGCATAGGCCATGGCTAACTATTTTGGGGCATTTTTCACTCTGAAATCTCCTCTAGACAAAGAATTAGACCAAAATAAAGAGTCAACAAACCAGCTGCTCACCGTGGACGATGTTCTTAGGGCTCTTAGCACCTTGGTCATGGAAAAGTCAACAGGACCAGATGAACTACACCCCAAAATCTTGAGACATATTACACAATATATCGTGGCCCCACTGACTGTGACATTCAATATGTCACTTGACCAAGGTGTGTTACCTATGAACTGGAAGGACGCAATCGTCACTCCCACACATAAAACAGGATCAAGACAACTTCCACCAAATTACAAAACTGTCAGGCTCACCAATGTCGTAGTTAAAATAGTGGAAATAGTAGTCAAAAAAACCATAATGACATTTACGGAAACCAACGACTTGTTAAACAGCGAACAACATGGCTCTGTCCTAGGTACTTTAGTTTTTATACTGTATATAAATGATCTCCCAAGTACAGTCCCAATGTTATTATACGCAGACGATATAACAATCTGGCGAGTAATAACAGGAGATGCAGATGCATGCGCACTTCAGGCAGATTTAAATATTGTGATTAGCTGGTTTGAGGAGTGGCTAATGCCTATCACTGTGACAAAGTGTGTCTACATGCACTTTGTGGATACAAAGGTTAGTAGGTATAGCATAGGGAGAGTGTCTGTACCTGTGGTTCGGTCCCATAAGGATCTAAGAGTGACAGTGAGTTATGGTCTTAAGACCACGACCCATTGTCGGGAGGTCGCAGCTAAGGGGCCTCGAACCCTCCGGGACGGACATCCACCAAGTTAGATCGTACTATGTTCACTGCAGTATGCACAACCTTAGTGAGAACTAAGCCCCAGAACTGCTCTCAGACTGCAAGCCCCTGTTTGAAAAAGGGCTCAGATATCCTGGATAACGTACAGAGGGAAGTTACCAGTGCAATTATAGAATTCCGAGGTTCACCATGCAAAAGGCAGTTGGAAAAGCTAGACCTCAATAATCTGTCGTATCGTAAAATAAGAGGTGATCTGATGCTGATGTATAGAATACTAAGAGGTTGAAGATGACGCAGTGTTTGACAACGCTTCTACCAGTAACACCTTCTAATATAATTCGTAACCACCCAGAGAAATCAAAATACAGGGTCGAGGAGATCGGAAGAGTATATTTGGCGATAACCAATATATCGGAATTCTCTGATCTAATCTGGCTAGCGATTGCAGTAGCAGTTGAGCACGTCGTTACCACACGTGATCTGGTGCGGATGTCTGACCGAGCGCCTTCAGCTAGATGAGTCCAATGTCGAAAATTTACAGGGCTATTTATTTTGGGGATTTATTTACCGCTACAGATCACTCCCCCTCTAGTGGGTTAGTGATGACCCTAAGACGTGGCCACCCAGAAGTTTAAACCCAGCGACTTTGTCGTTGGTAAATACTCTTCTGATAGCTTGCTAGGATTAGCAGCATCTGGTCGTCTTTACTTACTATGTGGGAACGAGGTACAACATGGTAAAAAAAGAGAAAATGTACAATGAAAATTTCAGCTCCTCATAAAAGTCATCGTTCTTTTCCAGCCGTCCTGGAAAAGAAAAAAGAAAATGTAAGTGCATGTCAAAATACACTCGCATGTCCGTAAAAACACAATGTCCGCGAAAAAATTGGAATATGAACTAATTTACACGTAATATCGTTAAAAAAATTTATAGTGTTTTTTTGTTTTTTTGAAATATAAGTATAAAT